GAGAAGAGGAAGCTCCTCAAATCAGGCCTGCCTGCTGGTCCCGTGTGCTCTGGGCTCCCTTTGCTTGTCCGCATGAAAACCCTGTCCCCACACTGTGGATGAGGGCACAGAAGGGCCCCATGTGGAACCCAGGCCTGGCCCCGAGCCTTGGGTGTCTAGAAGGTTGGCCTGGGCTGTGCCCCATGGGAGGGGCATCTCCTGTGCCAGGCCAGGCACACAGCAGCCTGGAGAGGGTAGGACTGAGGACTCTGGGTCCTCAGTCTCCAGCGCAGTCACAGTGCCATGCTGTCCCCGCCCCAGCAGGCTGGGGCAGATGGTGCTCCTGGTGGTCACATCCTACAGGCCTCGTGGGCTCTCAGACAAGGGGCTCCAGCTCCAGCTTCCAGGCCTCAGCAGGCCAGACACGGTGCCGCTCCGCAGGGCCTGCAGCCAGGGCCACCCTCAGCCACCCACTGCCCTTCACACGCAAAAGCATGCTCTGTGGAAAGGACGCACATGGGCACTGCCCGCACAGCACCCCAGGTCGTCGGGAAGTGGGGACTGCATGGTGGGGACGCAGACGCTCGGTGGGAGAGGGTGTGGGCATGTTGAGGGCCTGACTGGCAGCAGGCGGGCAGAGGCAGGAGGGTGGGCTTCTGTCTGGCTCATCGTCTTGGTCCCTGGTAGACAGGCCTGCTCCAAGGAGTGGGTGCCTCTGGAGCCCGCCACCCAAGCCCAGGCCGTGGGGGGCGAGGGTCCGTTGGGTCACTGACTGACATGCCAGCACCCCAGGCCCATTACTTCGATGCCATCTACCGCCTGCTCCCGAGCACAGCATCCAGGGACGAGGTTTCCAAATGGACTATTGCCGACCACCTGCCAGCCTCCGTGGAAGGAGTCCAATCTCTAAGTGGAGGTGCGCAGGTTAACTCTCTGTGGGTACTACCTGAAAGGTGGGACGTTTCTGTTTCCAAAACAGCAGTCACTGAAGCCCCTTGTACAGTGTGTGTGCGCGCGCGCGCACATGTGTGCACGCTCTCACGTGTGCAGGGGGCAGTGGACAGGGAGCCCAGTATTGGCAGCTCTCCCTAGGGCCTAGGTTATCCTTCTTGACCCAAGGTTACAGCCATGGACTATGTGCCTGGCCGGGGCAGGCCACAGTCAAGAGGCCTGCTGCCCTGGTGCGAGGGCCCCCTCCTCTGGGTGAGGAGACTCTGTGGTGTTCCAGCACAGGGCCCACAGAAGAACAGCCTGCAAGCCAACAATGGCTTGTCTTTTCAGATGGTGGAAAAAAATAAAAACCGAAAGACTAGCATCCCAACGTCAGAGTTGTTTAGGTGAGGGCTTCTGAAGCCATGGCCAGCCCTCGTGAGCACATCACCTGGGGACCCGCTTCCTGGCAGCAAGGCCCAATCCTGCGGTACTCACATGATGGCCCAGCCTAGGTAGTTGGCAGTGCTGCCCCAGTACATGGGGTTGTCCAGGACACTGAACGGGAACGTGGTCACTCTGGCTTCCTTGAGGATCCCAAAATAATCACCTGCAGGGAGGGCAAGGCAGGGCGTCACGGCACCGCACATCCCACCCAGCTGGCAGCCGGCGTCCTGAGGGCCCTAGCCAGTGTGCCCTAGCTCTGGCCTTAGCAGCACAGGCTCGGCTGAGGGCGGGGGCCCTGAGGGGTGAGGTTGTGATGCCCTCTAAAGGCCTCGCTGGCCTGGGCCCCAGCCACATCAGCCTGCTGGCTCTTCCCACCTGTGTCTCGCCCGGTCAACCCACGCCCCGGGCAGCTCCCCACCACTTCTCCCTGAACTCACTTTCTTCCGAAGGTGCCTCCCTGTTTGCCCAGCCTGTGGCCGTCGGCCAGTTCCTCTCCCCTTGGTCCGATGCCCATCTGCTTCACAGCCCACCAGCCACATTCCTGTGGGCTCTGGGGGTAGCCAGCCAAGTGCAAGCTACCAGTGACCACCCTCAAGAGACGGGCCCCAATAGCCACCGGGTGTCTGCAGGCTTACGGAGGTCCACAGGCACATGTGTGATAGGCCCACCCTCTTCATCTGTCCCCTCCCCCTTCCCGCTTTGTCCTCCTTCAGGTAGCACCCAAGGGAGCCTGAAGCCATCCAAGGTTTAAGGGGGCAAAAGTTCCAGGGCCCCCACATGCCTGTGTGACAGCAGAGAAAGGACACCCCAGGACACCCCCATTGGGGCCACCCTGCTCACCAGGCCAAGGCCTGACAAGGGCGGGGGGCTGTGAGGGGCACAGCACACAGTCTACAGCAGCCCTGAGTTCGAGGCCCAGGTCTGCCATAAGCTGGATGCACCCTTGGGCATGTTTCTCCCTCCCGAGAGGCCTCAATGCCCCTACCTGTCCAACACATAACTGCATTCACTATGTCCACTCTAGGTCCCTGGGCCCATGCCCCTCCCAGGTGACAGACTATCTTTGTGGTCTGCCCCCTGAGGACTCAGGGTCCACACTAAGGCATCCGCAGTCTCTCTCACTGCAGGTACCCACGACACCAGCTTCCCATGATGAGAGCAGCACGCAGCCACCGCGTGGCCCCGAGGTCGGGGCTCTGCCTGCCAGGCACAGGAGTTTCTAGGAAAGGAGTCTGTCTTGGCGCAGGTGCCTACCATGCTGGCAGGATCGATGTCAGCGCATTTCCTAGGTAACAGCAACACCCACACCTGATTCCTGTGGGAGCTCTGGATGGAGAAGGTACTTGAGAGAAACCAAGAGGCTCCGGGAGGGGCTGCTATCTGCAGCATGTTTCGTGCCTTGGGACTGCCTGTTAACACTGGGGACTGGGCGGTGCTCTCATAGGCTGTGAGGCTGGTGGGGCTGGGACACCCGCGTGCCACCATGACCCCAGATCCAGGCTTTCTAAATGCCCTGGCCTCCGGGATGGCATGGCTTCTCTTCCTTCCCTGGTGTCAGCTCTCCTCCGCGGCCCACAGCTGTTACTGCTTGCTGTTACACTCGGCCGCCCTTTGCTGGAGCCGCAACGTGGTTCGGCGACCAGAACAACTCCGTTCTAAGTAGAATGCAGGGCTCATCCAGACAGAGCTAGTCTGGCCTGGATGTGAGCAAGAATGCTGAAGACCAAGACAGAATGGGAAGCACTAAATACACCCCCCACCCCCCCTTGAAACATCAAAACAAACCAGCAGAAACTGATGTATCTAACCTCGTTGGAACTCTGGTGAACATTTGGGGGGTGGTTCGTAGCTGTCAAAATAATAGGACAACTTTGTGGCTTTCTGGTCCCACGTGGGCTTCCTGCCCCTCCTGCTCCTTGAAGCCACAGGCGCACATCCACCTTGAGATGGCGGGTCCCAGCTCCGACGGAGAGCACAGAAGTGTGTCTGTTCAAACCTGGGGAGCGACGGCCTGAAGGATGCTCGCAGGGCACCGGTCCTGCCCGCTTGGTGGAGGTCGCAGCACGACAACGGGACGAGGGGCTGGGAACCGTGGGCCAGCAGGGCCGTTCAGATACACAGAGGAAAGCCAAAGGCCAGAGAGCGTGTTTCTTTGGGATGGTGGGGTGTTTAAATTTAGACACCTGTGTGTGACCTGGAGCGCCACAAGCACGCTCAGTACAAGACACCTGCTCAGCAGGACCCGAGGAATCCTATGCTCTCACCCCAAGCTGGTCCCTCCGTTCCGTGCACGCGAGGTGACATGTGGCGGAGAACGGGAGCACGAATCAGCAAACCACGGGACCCCAGAAGCTGGGAACAGAGAAGCACGTATAAAACAACATGCAAAGGCCCTAACTGGTGACTGAAGTGCAGAATTTAGAAGCAAACGAAAAGACACAGCACTTGGAAACACAGACTTGGTGGCAGGCTGCCCAATGCCAGAGATGACGTAATGGACCACCGGCTTGTCACCAGGAACAGTTTTTCAATGGCTTAGTGACTGCACACAGACCACTTCAGATGGACTGCGTGGGGACCGAACGACTACACTGGAGAAGCTCAGTATCCGTGCAGGCAAATGCAGAGCCACGTGCAAAGAAAGATGACGGACACTGCACGTTCAAATTCAGCATCCAAGCAAGCCTACAAGGCCCCAGTTTGACCCTGAATACATCCTGCCTGAATGGAGAAGGGGATTTAAAGAATCCCTTTAAAGGACAGATTTGACACACTGACCACAAGTGGCCAGAAGAGTTGTGGGAGGACATCAGGACATCATCCGTGAAGAAAGGGAAAAGGCCTAGGTGCGCCCAATAGGACTGTCACGAGACTGTCAACGTTGCTCTTAAGGGCAGAGTAGCAGAGGGAACAGAGACCACGAAGTAAAGAGCGGGCCAGAAGACTTCGAAGGGCGGCTGAGGAGACAGGCAAAGTGTGACGACAGATGTACAGAGACCCAGAGTTAGATCGGATCAGCTCAAAGAACGGAAGAGAAAACTCAAGTCTTGGGCTGCAGTACTGAATGAGACAGCAGGCATCAAAAGATGAAGGGGAAGCACTGTACCCAGAAGAATTCAGCAGCAGCAGCCAGTCATTTTCAGGAAGCAGCGAAAGAGCAAGAATGCTGGTGCTGAAGGAAGACATTCCAACTGGGCTGAAGGGACAGGGGGAAAACAAGGCTTCAGGAATTGGTGAAATACCAACTGAGATGCGTTACAAACATGCCCGACACCAGAGTAACAACTCAAACGGGAAGTAATTATCCGCAGAGGGGGGGGGGGTAGGGCTTTACACCCCAAATCCTAAGGGCCTGCACTGACTCACCAACAGAGGCCTGCCAAAGGCTCCAGCAGCGCCTCTATGTGCAACGGAGGTCAACAGGGATGTGGCGGGACTCATCACCACCCTGCATCCTTCCTCCAAGGCCTTGACAGTAACATTAATTTCTCCAGTCCCTGCAAGAGTGAGGTGTCCTAGGCTGGGGCAGTTCTAATGACTCCCCTCTGGCTTTTCTTAGCACAGTAACCCTCTCTCCACAGGGATCCAGAGTGGAGAGGAGAAGCCTCAAGTAGATCAGTGGTTCTCAACCTTCCTAATGCTGCGATCCTTTAATACAGTTTGTCGTGTGGTGGTGACCCCCAACCATCGGAAATATGTGTTTTCCGATGGTCTTGGGCGACCCCTGTGAGAGAGTCATTTAACTCCCAAAGGAGTCGTGACCCACCGGTTGAGAACCGCTGCTCTAGTTGGTGAGTAGGTCTGTCCCATTTGTGCATTCTGGGACCAGGGATATCACTACAAGGTAGCTGAGACCCACTGAACCCACTGGGAGAAGGGCCGGAGCTAAGTGTCCATTAGTAATAGGACCTCCGTTTCTCTCCACCCCCGACCACTGGGTTTCAGTTCGGAGACACTTCCTTTTCCTGGACAGTAACTTTGGGAGAAGGCCACGGATCCTTTCAGGGAAAGCTGGGAGGGAAATTAACAGTAGAAATTTGGGCCTAGGTAGTGGGGTCGTTCCTGAAATGGACTTGGCCTCCCCTCATTCTAGGAATTGGGAGTGGGGGGCGGTGTCTGTAAAAGACTCTTTGTTCTGGCAATTCAAGTTAGATTGCTGTTCACTTGACCGAAAATTCATCAGTTGCTATTGCTCCGGCAAATATTTAGTAAGTCTGTCATCTATTTCACTGCTAGGAGCACCGTGGCTAATTTAGCCCAGGTTGTAAGTGGAAGTGAATCACTCTTCCGATGAGTGCTTTGTAGCCATGCTCACCTTGTCCGGTGATTAAGTACTGCCGCACAGCCTCTGCCACCCTGGGATCCAACCACCCGCACTGCAGTTAAATGTCTTGATTCACTTAGGGCAAGCCCACTGTAATAGCTGACCCACATAGAAGGGCTGTCACAGCAGTCTACAAGGATGCTGGGGCTCTCTGCACAAGTGAGCTCCTCAGTTGTGGTAAAAGGTGTGTCACCCTCTGCGTTCTCCTTGGGTGGGTCCGACACCATCGGCCGGCCCACTCTAACATTTGTGTCTCCCTGAGGGTTGGGGTACGTCCTCTTGCGGTTTGCCACGGTTGTTATTTTATGGAGGACATGTCTTGGTTCACATAAGAAGGCTACCAGCCAAATAAACTGTCCCTTCTCAACACTCACTGACTCTCATTATCTGGCATTCTTGACGATAGTAAAAAATCTACTATCCAACTATTTTGGACATTTAATGACGCACACCTGGCAGTAAGAAACACTGAGGTGCACGGTCAGAGTCGCACTAGCTTCATATGAAGGGGTACCCCCCCAAAAAAAACAATTTTTTCCAAAGCTATGTATTTAAATGTTCTTTTTCAAAAATCAACCTTATCACCTTCAAAGTACTCTCCACTAAACTTAATACATTTGTCAAATCTGTGATTCCATTCTTGAAAACATTTTTCAAACTCATCTGTTTGGATGGCTGACAGCTCCCTCATTTTTTAGTTCAACTCTTCTGTGTCATCGAATCGCTGTCCTTTCATGTCCCTGTTCATTCAAGGAAACAAAGAAGTCCCATGGAACAGGTAAGGTGAGTAAGGTGCGTGTGGGGCATGAGAGGCGTGCTGATTTTTGCCCCAAACTGGC